TTACACCCATTATTGTAAATGAAATCCAGTCCCTTCCATTTAGCATCTGTGTTGTTTGGCCTCGGAGAATAATTTCTCACACAGGGTGAAACAAAATCTTCTCATGTTTTCTATCATGGAGAAAAAATTATTTTTTTTATTACTGTAATAGGGCGGAGCAGCAGGGATCATTTTAAGTAAACAAATATTCCTACACCTCTTGTTGTAAACTTCATTACCAGAAAACTATAATTTGTAATTGGTGAGAGAGACAAACAGACAGTGAGAGGTGGTGACCTGTTCCTGGTCAAGGTAGGACAGGATTTTGCGAGTAAAGATGAGGAAAATGAAGAGAAAATTCCTTAGGGATCTTGTCTGGCTTGAGTCCAAAATTGAGGCAAACTGAAAGGGAAAACGATGTGTTTTAGAGTGGGATTCTCAAGGGGCTTCAGCCGCGTTTCCGTAGATATATCCTGTCTGGCCTACTTGTCTGAGCAGAGAGAAGCCTTAGCTTTGACCCCTGACCTGGGCGGCATCTATTGCTGCAAGGCATTCACACGCCTTTGAGGGAAAAGGGGGAGTCGGTGGAGGGGGGGTATGCCAAGAGGCTGGATAAGGGAACGCTGGAATTTGGTGATCAGACTCACAAGTTATTTCTGATCCTTGGAATCTACTTGCTGTGTCGTGGTCCGGGGCTCATTACTACATGTTGGTGGTCTGCAGGTTGATGCAGTCCCATGGTAATCACTGACATCATGAGACGTCATCAGACACACTTGTGATATTTACACTTGAGGTAATACATAGATATGTGTTTAGTCTACTACAGTCAAGTTTGTTTGATTAAATTAACTTGACTCTTTTAGGACAAACAACTAAAAAATAAATAATAGTTATAATAAACTCGATAAGATATGCAACCACATTCCTGTCCTCTAGAGGGGATTCATAGTCTTTTACCAAGGCCAAAAAGAAGATAAACGACAAAGTACAAATAATTAATTTCTGTTTTCCAAGAACTATTAACTTATACTGACAGTCTAACTCTGTTCTGCTTCATATGCACATTACTGCAACCCTCTGAAAAAATACGTAACTGTAATCAGAACGCACATGCTAGGTGTTGCTCTAATTCAGTGGTTCTCCTACTGTCCCCCCCCCCTCCCCCCCCGTCTTCTTACTATTGTCAGGCCACTGACACATTCACAGTCATTGTCAATTAAAAACTAAGGTTAAAAAGCTGGGATTCCTACAAAACTGTTTTTCACATGAGAAATTGAAAACAAAAAATACAAATGAGTGCCATATCCCCAACGTAGTGCAAAAAAAAGTTAAATCATGTAAAATTCCAGTCCATCTGTCTTCCCCCAACCATGCAGCAGCTCTGCTTTAGTATGTTTTTTAATTGACTTGTTGTCAGGTCCATTACCCCAGAAACACCATCATGACATAAATCCATTTTCTTGAATGTATGAAAGACTATTTGTCAGTTTATCATTCAGGAAAAAGCTAGAAACAGAAGTCTGGCCATCCACAGCTTGAGCCAGCTGGTGGCGCCAAATTCTTCAGCCATGTTCCTGGTTTTAGAGGAGAACCAGGTCCCTGAAGGTCATTATGGATTCACGTGTAGCTACACAGAGGACCGTGGACTGGTGGTGGTCGAGGTGGAAAACACTGAACTACACGTAGATGACAGGTAACAAAGAGTCCGTCTGACTGACATTAGCTCTCAAAGTCTAACTGTGATAGGTAGCTATGGAAGCCCAGTTGATGTGAAATCAACAGGAAATGACACGTGTGTCTATGACACTATGTGTGATATGATAATGTCATCTTTTATATCAATTTCTGTATATTAGAAACAAGAATACCAAATTCACTTTCTAAGCCTACAGATGTGTAAATTCAAAGAGAAACCATGATAGTTTTCAGACGTTCCTGCCACCAGACCCTCAAGTCACTTAATCCAAGACCAGTAGATCCTTCCAATGACAATAGTCGTCTGTGTTTACTTTAGATTAGTGGAGGTGAACGGTACACCTGTTCTCAACTACACACTGGAAGAATTGACTGACCTCCTGCAGCAGGGACCCAGGGCTCAGATTGTTGTCCTTCGCCAGCCTCCACCAACACTGCCACACTGCCAGGAGCATCTGGTTAGCGCAGATTCCATGCAGATCACTCGTACACGGAGCGATGCTGTCACCATGGAAACTCTGCCGCGACGGAAAGTGGTGGCAATCTGATAAAGTGAGAGAAAGTAATGAGAAAAAGTGATCAAATGTAAAATAATAATAAAAAATCGATATGATGTTTTTCCCATATATTTGATTTCAGTGTAAGTATCTTTACGGATTATCAATAAATATAATTTAGTATTTTGTGTTGAATATCGTTTTGAATATTATTTTGTTTCTTGTGGTGTTTATTTTAATAACATCAAGCAGGTGAACAATGTATATTTTATTCAAATTTTAAATTTAAGACCCATTAGCCCTCTTCCCAATTTACATTACATTAAAGCTTTACAGTAAAGCTATTCAGGGCAGTTTTTTCTTTTTTTTTTTCTTTTTTTGAAAATATAAGTAATGTCTTCTCTCTGCATGTTGTAATGTAATCCACGGTGCTGCAGGAATATAAACCCTTGGGCCCTGGAAATGCCTCATTTCTCAGCCTTGTTCTCCCTCGTTAAGTGGCAGTGGATCATGTAAGACTGACAGTAAAAACAGCACAAACGCTACCAAACCCTGACCTAGACCCCCGAGGTCCAAAGAGCCTGAGAGGAGAAATGATGAGACCAGCTTCACTTGTCAGTTGATGAGAAAGGTCGCAGATCAGTCAACCGATATGTCTGTGCGTCTCTGCTGAGTCTCGTTCATCCAACTGTACTTTTACAGTACATTTGTCAGTGAATGGGTTTTCAATAAAAGTAAATAATAAACTCATAATGCAGAGAGGGAGAAGAGATGTCCACTGTGGTTTCACACAGGCCGAAACTGGCAACATCGAATGTAACTAATCAAAACATTAAAACTCCATAACAAGGCAGCCTTTTTACTTTGTTAAATGCAATATTTGTAACAAACAGAAGAGTGAGGAGTTGAAGCCAATTCATATGCTCCTGCTTTGCTCCAATATTAGTAACAGTCATGTATAAGCTGCAAGATATTTACCCAAAATTGGAAACAAACAACGGTCCATTTGACATAAGAGTACAACTACACTGGAACTGGAATAGGACGCATACATAAATATATATACATACACATCTACACATGTATATACATACATATATGTTCATACACTATACACTATATACATACATACTAGATATATATACAGTATATTGTATGGGCGGAGTGGGATGCATTCCTATAGCAGCGCTGAGCAGAGAAGGGTGGAAGATTCCTTTAAAAGGAGCAGCTATTCCCACAGCTACACTCTGCTCACATCCTCTTTGACCAACGGACACAGAAGTACTATAAAAGCATGCCTCAGGAAATGTTACAATACTGTAAAAACTTCCCCCAAACCACAAAATAATACAGTATTTCAGTGTACAGTGACAGAGAAATTACAATGAGGATTATGCACATTGTCAAAAATGCCCAGTGCAGCAGGGCCGTGAGGTCAATCCAGGCTGCCGCTGCGATGAGCCAGAGGGAGAAAGATGGAGAGACATTCGTAGCTCAGTAAAACCGAGCCACCCGGAGGCAGAAAGCAGAGGAGAGAATGTGTCATGGCTGCCGTTATGGAAATAAATTAACACTGGAGAAAATGAGACAAAATCCTATAAACACTGCCGCTGGCAAAAGTAGAAAGACATTGTGGGATTCCCAGTGACCAACACACCCCAGAACACACACCAACACTCTTTGATTTTCCAGCTATAAACCACTGTGGCTGTCAATCTAAAAAGCAGGAGAAATCCATCAGGGTAAATAAGTCACAGCATGGAACCCTCAAAGATTTTCAAAGATGCTGTCAAGTGAGAATGACCTAAGACTGTAGCGAACACTGTACGGCCAGGGAAACATCTGCACGCTGACCTCCGCCTATACCTCCCAGGCGCCTCAGGTTTAGTCAGGCTGTACCTGACACATGGTGGCACAGAGAAACCTGCGCTGCATCTGGTTTGCCTTAGCATTCTCACTGAAGCTACATCGAGCACAAACTGATAAGCTCTAAGGCCAGGTTTCCCCCTCTGCCCCCCTTGAGCCCCAGTTTCTCCCTGCTTCACTCCCCCCCACCTCCCCTCACCTCCTTCAACTCTCTAACCACCTCATGACATCTGAGGGTGCCTGGCATCCGTTTGAAGTGGGAGAGAGGGCATTGGCTCTGATTTCCTGCCCAAATCCCACACAAGCCAAAAAAACGCATGCAGGTCTGAAGCGAACCAAAGGAATTCCTGTCCACTCAATGTTGAACAAACTTAGCATTAAGCCTTTAATTACACCAAAAACTACCCTGTCTTCCTGCCTGAATAATAATCTGTTTGGGTGTTTACACCTAACGAGACAAAAAAGTGAGATTTTACAAAGTAATTACTTGTATATCCTCATACTCTGAGGTGTTTATTCTTTCCTGCTCTCTTTTGCTGTAAAGCTTTATTTTTTGTACAATCCTTAACTTTCTAACCTCTTACACTTCAGTAATCACTCAGCAGCACCGAGGGCCGGGAGGGTCTGAGTCAAATCCCAGGGGCTTCTGATTTCATTTTGCTGAGGTGGAAACAGGACTTGTGTCCAAACCTCTGTTAAATCTCACACTAAGTAGTGGCACCGGGCACTTCAGTAAGACTCTCAGGAGATACCGAAGCACTGAGTCCTCCTTGGGTCAACACTGAAGTGTTTGAGTTTCTTCTCTGGACTAGTTTCACAACCGTCGCTGTGAGGGAAGCTGAGGGTATACTGCCATCTGGTGGCTGCCATACAAAGATTCGTTTCTGTAGCCGTGAGTTACCTTGACTTTCAAATAGTTTCCATATACCATATACTGACTGAAAAATATAAACGCAACACTTTTTTTTGGCTTGTCGTTGTGTCTCTGATCCAGGACCATCACCTCATGTTGCACGGATGGTGCAGGGTTAGTTGAACATGTAGAGGTCAAGGTACCAGGCTTTGCACCGGCAACCCTGAATAGAATTAATAGGTAGAAAAATGAAACATTGATATCAGGACACCTTCTCACTATATGTTATTTTATTGTGATTTCGGTTTTGCTTCAACCCTGGAAACACTCAGGTAAAACATTCCATATCAGAGATATAGATTAAGAACGAGGCAGGATGAAGGTCCATGACTGATAGAGGTCAACACGAGTTTAAGGACTCAGAATGAACGTGTAATGTTGGAGATGTAACGGAAGCCGAGGGGGATTTAAAGACCCTCTGCCACTTAATTAACGCACCAATAAAAAAGCTGTTAGGATGAAGTCTAAGGTGTGTCTTCGACAGGAAAAGTATGTTAGGGAAAATTGCCTTGCCAGTAGACAGCGGCTGGGAAAGGTCAGCATGAGGTATAAGTCATTTTCCAATCCATTCTCACTGCAAGGTGGAGAGTATAACAGCCTACATCTACATCCAATAAACCTTTAATTACAGCAAGATGAAAATGGTGATTAGAAAAATCATTGTGGGACACAATGACTAAACAGGGCCTGGCAGGGAACAAAGAGTGCTGGAAAAAAAGGACAAAATGTTGGATAACACAACAAAAATATTTCAAGTCTCTGAAAAAAAAAAATCTAAGCTTGTTTTGGTAGTGGGTTTTAGTAAATCATCCTACGCTCTCAACAAGTGAGGAGTTTTTACACCTCTGGGAAAGAGACATCATGTCTTAGAAGGAAGTGTGAAGTTAAAAAAGGAAGGAGAAAAAAGAGAAACAGTGTAAAAATCAGCCTGTTGAGATGGTCCAGGTTATATAAAGGCTGCTGGGAGTATCGTTCCACAGCAAATATTTCAGTATCAATGTTCGCTATTTACCCTCTAGATGGCAGTAGAACACTCGCACATCATTATACTCTTATACTCTTATACTATATTATATCCTATATATTATATTATACTCTTCAAGGTTCACAAGAACTACGTTGACCCACCTCGACAGACTGTCAGGTCATGTCTCAGCTCAGGTTTGTTTCTGGTAAATTAAAGTAAGACAAAAAAGTTTCAGAAAAAACAAACAGAAAAATCTTAATTCATGAAAAAAGAAGCCTAGATCTCTGGAACTTTTCATGCAGTTTCCAAATGTTTCAATTTATTATTATATTTATATTCATATCTTTGTGCATACATATACTGTATTACACTGTGTATATATAATATCTGTATGAAATTCCTGATAGTTCAAAAACTCAGTCAAAGCTGCAGGAACAGACACAAGTGTCATGTTGACGTGTCATATCCTGTCTTTGTGATGGCGTGTCCTTTTTACAGCAGCTGATGGACAGACACCTGTGTTGGCTCGGAGGCTGAGTCTGTATAGACAGGCCTTTGTTCAGCCCCCCGCCCCCACCCTCCTCACCCCCACGAGTCTAACACTATATCTGCTTTTTGTTGACTCAAATATCCATCCGACCTCCACCGATACAGTATATTAGCCAGTTATCACAGGTTTCTCACTGTGATAAAAGAGAGCATGTCATTACATCAGGAATGTGTATTTTTGTTCTTCTACTACTTCTTCTTTCGCTCAATTTGTCCTGCCCTCTAATGGAGTGGCTAAAAAGTGCAGTTAATGCAGTTGGTCCTCTGTTTTAGGAACTCCTTATTTGTGTTAACATTAGCAACAAGCTACTAAACACCAGCGTCAGGTGCTTATGTTGGAAAACATCAGCTGAATTTAATGTTGTATAATTTGTTTTTCCAGGGTAAAATTTTAATATTTAGTCAGGGCAAAAACTCCATTATGGCATGAACATGAATATTTACAGTATGGGTATCCTACATGTAGTTACACCTTATGCTCCGAGGCACACACTCACACACACACACACACTCACCATCACAAATAAAGCATCTACAGAGTAGCCAGAGGAGCTGGAGGAAACACACCAGGGGGAATGTTGAGAGGAAATGATGCGCATGATGACTGCTGAATGGCCGGCCAGTGGGACAGACCGTGTCAGACAGTTTGCTGAAGAGGTGGGAGACAGAAAGAGGACTGACTGCAGAGGGGACAAGAAGGAGACACGGAGCATGAGAAAGACGAGACTAATGTCCCTGCCGTCTCACGCTTTGTGA